AAAAAAGATAGAAAAATAACTAAGTTTTATATGTAACTACAGTGAAAAATCGTATTTCTCTACTGTGGAAATATTTGACACAAGTGATCAACAGGAAGAGTTTTTTTTCCTTATTGCATTCTATATTATAAATCAGCTAAAATCAGAATTCCTTTTTGGTATGGCATATCTTTTGTATTTGATCTGTACATTCATTTTCTTTAAAATAAATTGTAATTGTCATTGAAAGATATACATATCTTCAGATTTCTCTTATTCTTTGTGTACTACACTAGAGTTTTGTAATACATTTTATAAGTTCCAACATGTGATCCAAATGATTTATAAGTATCTCAGTGTAGTGTTTTATCTTAACAAATTTTTTAAGAAATTTGCTGTAAATTATTAAAATCTGTCTTTTACTATTTTTTTTTTTTTACTTTTTGATGGTTTGTTTTGTAATAATTAAAAAAACAATATTTATAATATAAACTATTAATATTGGTTAGGACCCTTGTTCTTTACACCTATATATTTTAAAAGATTCCTTCACATCTTCAATAGACTTTTGTGTTTCAAAATAAGCATATTATTCTTTATTTATGGATAGTTTAATCTTCTATAGTACATAGTCAATCATTATAACTAAATTCTTAATTTCTAAAGTAAGATACTTTAACATTGATCCTTGTAATCTCAATTTGTGAATATTTGTTCTTAAGCTTGCCAATGTCCAATTTTAGGCAAGCGCATTAAAAAATCAATAAACAAAATGACTACCTTTATTATAAAAATTATTTTAATTATAAAATTTTATTTTAAAACTCTAATTTGTTGAGAGAATATTTATTAATTACATTTTTTAAATGACAAAAGTTGTTTCCGTAATTTCAGCGTCGATCGATCGAGCTGGCGTTGATTAATTGATTGAACGGACTTATTTTTTGTTGTATATACAGTATAAATAAACAACTACCCAAAAATTTACCTGTAATACTTATCTCTGGATTTATGGCTGGATTAGACTTAAATCACATTGCGCAAATAATACGAGCCTCCTCTTTTGTTAGTTCATTCCTATTTCGTATATTGGATTTTATAATTTTATAATCTTAGGAATAATTCAAGGTAATCCAAATTATTTTTACTACTCGCTTGTCTAATAAAAAAAATTATTTTACTTAAAACCTAAGATCCCATTCCTTTAGAGATCAATTTGACAGCCACCTTGCAAACTTTATGATATTGATCACTTAGACCTTATACTATTGAAGAATTCGAATTTATTATCGAACAGCTCTTTAAAAATAGATGGTCAACCAGTTGCCTTCTTTGAACTGAACAAAGGAAAGCTCGTTCCAATGCCGCCAACCACGATTATTTGGGAGATTGCTGTCGCTGAGATCTCACGACAACTTGCTACTCGGAATATCAAAATGGCAAAATCATTGCATCTCAAGGGGCTTTCTCCTTGATTATAATTATAAACCAATAATCCGAGCGCCTGATGTTACATATACACCCTAAAATACTTACAACTCACTTGATCAACACCAACTTCTTTCTTTTCAAGGATACCCCCTTCACGCCAACCTTTGTAGTGAAGTCGAGACATCAAAACATGAGGTTCAATAAATTTGATGAAAAATTTTTTTAGCAAATGGAACATCTATTCAACTAAGGTATAAATAGTTCATGTGCATAGGAGGGGTAAGAACCATGAACTATTATGTAATGTATTCTGTTACATATTTCGTACAGGAAACCTTTTCAAATTGGTACACTCTAATTAAACACTAAAAAAATATCCATGTACGTAAATGGCGTAAAACAGAGTAGAGCTTTTAAAAACGTGCACTATTTGAGTGCAAAACCAAGATTAGATGATATTGTATATTATTGTATATGCTTTTAACAAGAGGATATTCATAAATTTCACATTCAATATAATACCATTTATTGTCATATGAGAATGCGTAACAGATAATATTTTTAAAGAGTATTTGTAGGTTTTATATTTATATTTTAAAATTTTTAATTAAATAAAAAAAAACAAGGTTTGTTCAGAATTTAATCCCTGTTTCACAGCATTCATTTTTTCTAATTTTATCAAATAATTTTCGAGGCTTATTCTCTAGTATTTTCCGATGCATTATAAAAAAAATGAAAGGCTTGTATAACTAATGAATTGAATCAAATTATAGAAAGCCAATTGCAATCCAGTAATAAATAAATCCTTCGCACTTAAATACTTTTCTCCCTAATAATCTACTCACACCAATTCCTGAAGATGTGTTACTAAATTTGTTAATAAATTTAAAACAGTATCGACATGTTCTAAATGTTACACTCAATTTGAAGGGAGAATTACGATCATTCTAGTGGCACGAAAATATTGTGATTACACAGTTTTAAATGTTTTCGCTAAAATACTCTAACCTGTTTTGATATTGCCAAGAATTAACTAATAATACTGTTCACGTGAAGTGCCAAGCTTTTCGATCGGTTGAGTACTATCTCAATATGGAAGTCCAAAATTTCCGTAAATTTGTTCTTGGCAAATGCTTGGCATTTTTTTAACATAGTAATACCCATTTTAAAGTTCAATAACAGATTTTTTTTTTTCACAATAAAGAAATTTTTTCAAATTCAAAAATCCTTTTTTCCTATAATAAAGAAAATTTCTAATTTAAAAATTAAGTAAACCTAAAAAAAAAAAAATAATAATTTAATGCTCAATTTAATTATAACAATATGCAAACTAGACCGCTCGTTTTTTCCTCATCAGTACCAACCCTAATACCTTCAATAATCTTTGCAATAATCTTTTTTTTTACAACTTTACTTCACTTACATCATTATATTAAGTATCGAAGAAACATAAATTTTATTTTATTTATATTTAGTTTGTTTCGTACAATAGGATTTGATATACGAATTGCGGAATCTTTTAAAACCACGTCAGAAGTTTTGAGCTTATTTTCTGGAACAATTATAATCGGATCGTTCTTTTTAGTTATTTTGGGATTGTACGTTCTTCTGATAGAATGGATTCAATCTATTACAAAATCTCATATCTCTACAAAAAGACTTTCTTGGGAGATTAAACTAGTCAGAATTCCAACGTACCTTTCACCTACATTCTCGATATATGGAATAATTGGAATGTTACGATTATATAATAACGCTTCAATTAATTACGATAATTCTAATGAAGGAAGTACTTGGATGTTAATTTCAACCTTGGGATTCTTGATATTAACGTTCATATATATATGTTGTGTAACTTATTTCGCATTTATGTATGGTGAAAAACCTATCAAAGGACAACTCAAAGCTTTTGTATTATATATTTCCGGAGCTTTATTATCCATTGAATTGATATATAGAATAATGGTGGATATGTCAAATGCGACCGATTCGATAAATCGTTATGAATGGATTTTTTATTTATTTGAGATGATACCTGAGGTGACATTATTAATAATTTTGGGTGGTTTCATATTGAACGAATGGTTTTATAAAGACGAAGATCACGTTACTGCAAAGACGGGATCATCCTCAACGGTGTAATAGAATAATATAACAAAAAAAAACGGATAACAAACCTTATGTTTATGAATTATAAAATTTAATATAATATAAGTGTTATCAGCACAAATTAATTTCTTAGTTTGCGCATCGATTTGTTATTTAAAATTTATATATAAAAATTTATTTTAACATAAGCTATTGAAAAACTATTCTTTTATTTTCTTTATGAATTTTTTATTATTCACTTCCAAATAAGTAGAAATTTTAGTTTCATGTATTGTTGTACTTTAAATAAAGTTACTTTTTCTTCTTTTAACATTACTCGTAATTTTGAAGTTTTTTTTTTTTGTCCAAAACAAATTATTTAAGAAAATCATTCTGGAATCGATAATACATCGGATTAGTACGCTTAGCTGTTATGTTTCCTAATGTCATAAACCCCGATTCAGTATTCACGTGCAAAGAATAGATAATGTTATTACGAAGATTATATAACTATAATAGGGGTGGTGTATGGAACACCAAACAGGACAAAAGTCGGTGTAAAATCGCACATATATGTGAGAAACACCGATGTATCGGTGATTTTTCACAGTTAAAAAAATTTTTATCACCGATAATAAATTAGTATCGCGGATTATAAAATCGCAGCATCGGTAATTAAATCGTATCACTGAAAAATAATTGTGTCGCGGATAAAAAACTGTATCACAGATAAATTAAATTTATCGCAGATAAAAGAATTTTATCGCCGATAAATATGACGTGCCATATTTGTCCTGTTTGGCACGCCATATAATAGCGCAGAAAAATCAACGAATATAACAGTACAACCCTCTAATATACTCCTGTAAATCGCATCATATAAAATCCCAGGTGGTGGAATTTCGCAGGGATGAGATTAAGATGAAGGATTCTTTCTTTCTCGACTAATTCATTGATTGTGATTCGGACCATTCAAATAACTTCACTTTTGAATCGATCCGACAATAACTTCCAAAGCCAGGATTTCATTAATTATAGGTTGAACTATGCCCAAAGCCCTTCTTTTTATTTCCGCTTTGGAATTAACAACACCTCCCCAAATCCTAATATTTTTTTCAATGAATGAAGACTCGGAGATTCCATTATCAGCACCCAAACATATTCTTTTCTATTGAAACTTTAAAATTCTCAAACTATGTCCTATTTATTAGTTTATAAAATTGGGTTATTATCGATTACCGAGTGACTTCACCCAGAATTGTTTTCTAAAAACATTGTAAATTAGAAATTTTTTTTTAGATGGAATGTTTATTACAATACCTGAACTTGGTGAAGGAGATATCATGATTACCGCGGAGATTATTAAAAATTTCTTATATTATTGAAGTGATTTTGCAAAAATAAAAAATATGTTTTTAAAAAAAAAGGTTTACTTTATAGAGTGTATATACGCGTAAATTGAAGAAACGATAAAATGTTCAACGGTTTTTAAAATTATATAAATTCCTACAATAAAACAATGACGTGTTTAATATTTTTTTCGTGTTTATTAATAAATTTAGAATATTTTTTTTTGTAGATTTTTTACAAAAATTTTACTCTCCTTTAAATAAAGGATCGTCTTACACGTCTTTAAAAGGGATAATATTTTATTTGGAAATGATTTTGATGCCAAACGCTATTCTGACGTTTTACACGTTTGCGCTCTGAATCGTGATTTAAGTTTATTAAGTTATAGTGATGCAACTGAAATTGGTGATTTTAAAAAATAAAATGAGATTTATTTATATATATCATTAAATAATATACAAAAATTTGTTATTGATATTTACTGATATGATAATGCAAATAAAGTACGTATTTCAAGATCATTTTATGTCTTTGGTATTTAATGCAATCAAATTTCGAGTGAAAAAAACTGAAATAAAGTGAGGTATAATTTTAATAATATGAGATATAACACGTACATACAACACTTTGTCAATACTTTGTAAAACTATCAAAATTTTAACTCTTAAAAATTTATAGAAAAAAAAAAAAAAAAAAAAAAAGAGATAAATGAAAACTTTTGAATCAAATATTATTAACGAAAAAAAATATTCGAATATCTTTCTAATAAATATATATATATCAATAGAGAATCAGTTTAGTAAAATAAAAAAGAAATCCAAAAGACAAAATCAATAAAAAACCAATATCAATCTGTGCGTGATTCACAAATCTTCTCTATATAAAATATACGTACAATATAAATAAGTTACATATTTCTTCCGTCAGATCCCTAATATTCCTCGTTAACCAAACTTGCAAAAGAACAAAATTCTCTGTAATTAGGCTTCCCGATAATATCAATAACTGCATTTGCCCTCTCACTTTCTTCAATCTGATACACTATTTTTTTATTCACAATTCCCAATTTCATTAATTTTCCAATTCTTTCGGCAAATTCGATAATATACTTCATCAGTTCTCCGTCAATCTTATTATAAATATCTAAAACTTCAATTGGTACTTTAAGATTTTTCAACATGAAAAATACGGAAAAAGATGGTGAAGTTCTAACTCCTAAATGTTTCAAATTTGTAGGAAGTTTTTGAGCCAATAAAGATAAACCTTCTCTGGTAGATGTCATAAAAACCAAAATTAAATGCTCAAGTGAAGTCATGTTTGGCAAATTAGTATAAAGATTGGGGAAATCTTCCTTGGTAACATGTAAAGTAAGATGACTAATCTTTGGACAAAATCGACTAACATTTTCGAGGATTTTTGAATCCATGTAATTTGTTTTCAAAGATTTCAAATTTTGATTTGATAAACGAATTAAAAGTTGAATTAATGCTGAAAATTGAGTTTGCTTAGCTTCAAAATGAGATTGATAACTAGCCTCCAAATGTTTAATATGGATAGATGATAAAGATGAGAAATTTTTGAGAAGAGAAGAAACATCTTCGATTTCATAATAATTAGTTATGCATAAATCCTCTAAATTCACGCAAGCACTTAACATTGGAAATAGTTTTCGAATGTGTCTAAGATTATTGGTATGAAATGATTTCAAAGAATGCGCTTGACTTTGAAGAGCAGTATAAATTAAATTTGCTTTAGAATGATCCCACCATTCACATAATTCAATTGAATAAAGAGATTTTTGTGCTTCAATAAGTTTGGCAAATGACTGACAAAGTGGAATGTAATTTGGAAGTCGTAAATAAACATAAATTTTTATATGTTTAATATTTTGAGAATAACGAGATATACTGTTGATATACGACATCAATAGATTACCCGAATCCTGGTCGAATCCATCCCAACATTGAGTTTCAAATATCTTAAGATTAGATAAAGCAACATTAATTCCGTTATATAATTCTAAGTTAGGTAAAATTGTAAATTGAGTTTTGTTATATTTCATATTAAAATCATGATCGCATCTAAAAAATTCCAATCCACGGGAACTTCCAAATATCAAATGACTAATAAGATCGATAGCCGTTACAAGCTTATCTTTTTTGCACGGAGAATCGATATTTTGAAAAATTCTTAGCCAATTCGTGACAGAAAGTTGAATACTATGCGTACATACGCTTCTAATAAATGTAGGATAATCAAATAATGGTCTTGGTCGGTCTTTTGAAATTTTGAAACCCAAATCAGTCCAACGTTGTTTTTCATCATCTTTTAAACACGATACCAATGTTTCGATAATGTAAGCACATCTTACGGTTTTAATTTTATATCCAAAAGGACTCCTCCAAATTAATGGTACAGCAAGTTTAGCCCACTGTCTATTGGTTAAGAGACAAGAATAAAGTGAGTTTGGAGTAATTGAATCATTGTAGAGATGTTCTAATATTTCAACTATACAATCCAAAGGAAAAGATGAGATATTCAATTGTTTTGTTGTTGTCATCGTTAAAACGCGCAGGATTTTTTTTTTTTTTTAAAAAAAAAAAAAAAAAAAAGAAAATGTATTTCGTTTTTAAACTACACATGTTAAGTATGTTACACGAGATTTATTTATAATACAATAAATATTGAAAGTCCACGTGGATTGCTAAATGGGCAATACGAAGATGGAGAAAACTCGCTTATGGACCAGTAGTTTTTAAGGAATATAAAATTACTTACCACGTTTCCCAAACACATTGTATTATTATCTACTGTATCATTTTTTCTTTCAAGACTTGGAAAGAAAATGACCAGTTATTAGCTGTACTCATTAAAATTTAACTTTTATTGAGAATATAGATTTTTTCATGAATTTCTTGAAACTATTATATTTCAAATTCATTTCTCTAAAAACGCCTAATTTAATCTCTAAAAACAGGAAACAGTGAATGGACAATAAATTTATTTCTGGAAAACTATCAAAATAGTGTTAATTTTCTATGCAAAAATACTTATTAATAAATATAACTTTTAAATATTACTGAAAATTAAGAAAATTAAGTATTATAAATTGTTAACAAACAAAATAAAACTAATAATAGAATTTTCTTTCCCAGCTATACATAATGATGTGATTGAAGTTTTCAAGATCAAATATATCAATAATAAAGATTGAATTTATTGATAAGATCCAAAAATAATAATAAAATATTTGATAAATTGCTAATAAAATGTGAATAAATTTTTATATTTATTTAATTATTATTGAAAAAAAAAATTAAGATTCGGGCACTATTACAATAGAATATTCAATCAAATCATACGATTGATAAAATTGCGATAGATAAATTGCAAAGATAAAATTACGTAAGAAAGATAAATTGCGAAAGATAAAATTACGAAAGAAAGATAAATTGCGAAAGATAAAATTACGAAAGAAAGATAAATTGCGAAAGATAAATTATGAATCACAAAAGATGAATTGAGTATAATTTAAACTTTCACTTTGCAGATTTTACTTCTGGATCATAAAATGAACTTTTTAACAAAAGATAATTTTGAATTTATTATAATACAACTTGGAGATATTCTAGTCAAATATTTTTAGTAAAGATGATTTAATCAGAATTTCTGATTTGTAGCAAGACATTAGTTCAAAAAATTCAAAATAATTTATTTTGATTCATTGATCTTTTTATGTCGTTTAACATCTTTTACGCCGTTTATTATAATTATTGTTGTTAACGTTGTTGTTGTAATATTTATTTACTTTTCTTGATCCAAATCAAATTAAATCAAAGAATTTCCTACATATAAAAGAATGTAGTATATTTAAATATATATATATATTTTTTTTGCAAATTATAAATTCAACATCTTTCCGTTCTTTTTTCCCTATCCTCAAAAAAAAAAAATCAAGTGAAAAATTTTATATTTCATCTGATTCTTCTATATTACCTTTTATCATCCGTATTTTATAACTCAATATGATGCACAATAAAAATATTATCGTCATCTCAGTATTCTTAATCTTTATCGTTCTCAAAGGCTTTGCAAACGCAATCCCATTTATGGAATCTTCTTCAGATGTTCAAGAAATCTCACGCATCGATGCAACCGAGCATTATATTCGCGCAGAAGCAGAAGACGTTAACGTTAGCAATCATAATAAACATCATGGGGGATATGGTAAAGGGGGAGGATATGGTGAAGGAGGATATGATGAAGGAGGATATGGTAACGGAGGATATGGTAAAGGAGGATATAGTAAAGGAGGAAATAAACAAATTTGAAGATCGAATTCATATAATTTGGTTACATAAATACGTAATAATTTAAAGATTTATTTGTTTAATACGTATTAAAGTAATACAACGATGTTAATCTCTGATCTGATAAGATAACATTGTTGCAAAGATAACATCGTTGCAAAGATAACTAAATTTGTAATTCCATTTCCTTCGTAAACATAATAATGTTTTCTTTTTAATTACCAATAAAAATACGTAAACTTATCTTGAAAGATAAAAAAAAAAAAAAAATTTTTTCGATATTTATTGTATAAATAATGCATGATTATTTTTCCAAGAATTAAGTGTTTATTCGAACTATTATTATGATTAAACAATTCATTAGTGATCTACCACGACATTTTGTAAATTATGTAAAATCGCTTTTTCCGATCCTTAATTGGATATCAAATTATAATCTCACGTGGCTCTCTGGAGATGTTATTGCCGGATTGACAGCAGGATCTGTTGTAATTCCACAAGGTTTGAATAATTTATATACTGAATTTAGGGAATTCATGGAATTTGCTCGAATTAAAGAATTTTAAAATTATTATATATATCTAAGGTCTAGCCTATGCTAAACTTGCAACATTACCTCCTGAATATGGACTTTATTCTTCATTTGTTGGAGTTTCTATTTATTGTTTCTTTTCTACCTCAAAAGATGTCACTATTGGTCCAACTGTTGTATTATCTTTACTAATTGGTCAAGCAATTGGTGGAATTCATAAACAAACTCTAGATTATACCGGTCCTCAAATTGCGGCATCTTTTGCTTTATTTTCAGGGTTAATTTCTTTATTTCTTGGACTCTTTCGACTTGGTTTTTTAATCGAAGATGCAATTCCTGCTCCTGTAGTTGAAGGATTCACTACAGGATCAGCTATTACAATTTCAATGGCTCAAGTATATACAAAATAAAAATAAATTAATGTTTTCATCATCTTTTTCAAAAATAAATTTTATTTTTTATTTTTATTTTATTTTTACAAAAGTTTTCAAAATTATTTGGCATCAGCGGCGTAGATACAAGAAAACCTACTTATAATGTATTTGGCAAAACTCTTATTGGTCTACCTCACACAGAAATCGATGTGGTTTTTGGTATACTAGGCCTTATATATTTATATACAATAAAGTATGGATCTTCGTATCTGGAAAAACGCTATCCCAAAAGAAAGAGATTATTATTTTACATTTCTATCTTTAGAACGATTTCTCTTGTTATAATATGTACTTTAATTGCTTACTTGATAAACATTGGAAAAAAAGAAAGTCCCGTTAAAATTTTAAAACATGTACCATCAGGACTTCGTCAAATTAAACCTCCAAAATTTGATGCTGAAATTTTAAGTTTAATGTCCAGTTATCTTCCAGGAATATTGATAATTTTGATTTTAGAACATATTGCGATTGCAAAGAGTTTTGGAAGAATTAATAGTTACTCGGGTATTTTTTTTTTTTTTTGATATTCTTTAATAATAAATATAATAAGAAATTATTGATTTTATTAATTGCATTTATTTTATTTACTTTGTCATTATTTAGTTAATCCAAGTCAAGAATTAATTGCAATTGGTACCACAAACGCTCTTGGATCATTCTTTGGAGCTTACCCTACTACGGGATCCTTTGTTCGAACAGCAATTAAATCAAAATCTGGAGTTCGTACACCACTTGCTGGAATATTTTCAGGAATCTGGGTAATATCAGCTCTTTATTTTTTAACACCAGCTTTTTATTATATACCTGATGCTACCCTTGCGTAAGTCTTTAATCTTTTGAATAATTTATAAAATGTTTTGTTAATAATAATAAAATTTTGAAATATATTTAATGTTAAAATTTTAAATTTTATTACAGAGCCGTTATTATTCATGCAGTCCTTGGTTTAGTTTCACCACTTTCATATTTAAAAAAGTTATTGCGAACACAACGTAATTAATATTTAATTAAATAATTTATTTAAAACTTATTCAATAATTTATTTGAAAATTCTTATTAATTCTATTTTTATTCAGGGATGGATTTTTTTATTTGGTTATTGGTGGTAATAATTTCTATTTTTTTTACTGTGGATGTAAGTATTAAAATTTTTATTTTTAAAATTCTTTTCTTAAAATTTATTTAATAATGTTGATTGATTTGAAAATTTTAGATAGGAATATATGTAGCGGCAGCATTTGCCCTTTTAATAGTACTCATTCGAATGTCACGTCCAAAATGTGATCCTCTCGGTCGAATTACATTTTCTCATGAATTCACCACCAAAAAAGATAAAGAAAATTTTCATGCATTCGTACCTTTAGAAGAAAATAATAATAATATTTCATTTAAAGATAACACATTCGAATCACCTCCTCCTGGTGTATTAATATTTCAATTAGGAGAATCATTGATCTACGTAAATGCTAATCATGTACTTGAAAAAATAATTAACTATACCAAAAAAAATACGAGAAACATGCAACAAAAAGCTGAAAAGAAAGGAGATAGACCTTGGAATAGTTCTAAAAATGAAAGTGATGCTAACCAAATTCAAAATTCTAAATTACCCATATTAAATACAATAATATTTGATATGACAGCTGTACGTGCTATTGATTCAACTGGTATACAAATATTAGCGGATATTAAAGAAACTCTCAATAAATTTTCTGGTCAAAAAGTTGAATATCATTTTGCTAATATTCAAAGTGCAGCTATAAAAAAGGCATTAATTGAAGATGGATTTTATGAAGAAGAAAAAGATGAAGAAAATAATGATGATGATGATAATAATAATATGAATGAATTAGTAATGGAAACTAAAGATGATATAATAGTTAATATTGATTCCGAAAATTCAAAAGAAAAATCAGTTTCTTATGTTATTTCCAATAGAAAAAAGAAATATTTTCATTTAAATTTAGATGAAGCTGTAGATATCTGTACTAATGGAACGTGGTAAAAAAACTATTATCTACAATTCATTTTAAAATTATTTAATTTTATAAATGTTTCATTTTTATCACCGTGATCGACAAAAATTTAATTGTTTAGCATTTAATTTTTTAAAAAAATATTAATTGAAAAAAATGTAAAATATAAAATATTTCTTATTTTAGATTTATAGTGTTAAATCCATTTAATTTTAAGAAATTTTCATTTTTTTTTCAAGTTAAATAACTCTTCTGATATTTTAAAATTTATTTTCATCCCGTCCCTAAAACGTATTATTCTGAATATGCACAATGTAGAAAAAGATTTTCGTACTAACAATTAAATTATATTAATAAATATTTTCTAAAGAGAATAAAGTTAGTGAGAAAGAAAATGTATATTATTGGATACTTTCAATTAACTTTTTTTCTATTTTCAGTTTCTACTGCCAAAATATTTTCGACCTATTTTAATTAAGACAGGGATTAACTGATTTCGACCCCGTGTAGAAAGGAAATAAATACACAAAAAGAATTCATTATTTCTTTTTTAAGATTATCGATACGCGTATCAACCCGATTTTTACTACGGTAATTTATTAAAATTTTTAAAAAATGTAGAATAAATAGTTGTCAAAAATCACCTCACAACAACAAATTTCACTATGGGTGAGTTTTCTAAATTCGATAATAAAAAAATATTATTATATCATTATTAATATGTAAATACATTATTGTTATTATTACTAGAAATCGATAAACAAATTTGAAAAAAGCTAAAATTCCTTTTAATTTTGATATATTTAATTTATTTAATTGAAATATGTAAAAAAAAAAGAAGCACAAGAAACCAACATAGAAAAAAACGAAAGAACTCCTCCCGTAGTGAATCAAGGGAAAACAAAAGATCCATGGAAAATTATAAAATCTTTGAATTATGCCCAGCGTATTACATTTCTTACTGCTTTTTTAGGATGGACATTGAATGCCTTTGATTTCTTTACCGTATCTTTTGCACTACCTTATATCGCAGATGATTTTAAAATGAAACCTTCCGAAATTGCTTCAAGGTTGATATTATATAACGGCTTTTACTTCAGTTTCATTTTTTTTTTTGTTGCTTACATTTCTATCGTTTCTTTCGCTTCGCTTTGTTGATTTTTTAACTTTTCTTTTATCATTCTTTTTGATATAAATTATTATTTTGTTATTTTTAAAAATTAATAATGATAGTATTACTATCACTTTAACGTTTCGACCTGTTGGAGCTCTAATATTTGGTCAATTAGCTGATCGATATGGTAGAAAATATCCATTAATGGTTGATATTTTATTATATAGTATTGCAGAATTTGCTTCAGGATTTGCACCAAATTTTCAAGTTTTTATTATTTTGCGAGCAATTTTTGGAATTGCTATGGGAGGTGAATGGGGTATAGGTGCCGCATTAGCAATGGAAACTTTACCTACTGAAGCTCGTGGGTAATTATTTCTTAAATAATTATTAAATCGATTTCCACGTGATTATATTATTATTTAATTATTTTTCGTCGAAATTCAAAAAAAAATAAAATAAAAAATAGATATATATAAAATTTTAACAATTATCATAATTATCATTATCTAGTTTATTTTCGGGAATTTTACAACAAGGTTATTCGACAGGATATTTAATTGCCGCTATATTTTATTATGTGATAATTAGAAATTTTGGTTGGAGAGCAATGTTTTGGATCGGCTCAATTCCAGCAATCCTTGTTATAATGCTTTGTTTCTTTATCCCTGAATCACATTCATGGGAGAGTCAATACGCAAATAAAAAATTTAAGGAAACAAAATGGTATACAGAAGTAAAATTTGCTTTAAAACATTATTGGATAAGAATAATTCATACTGTTTTATTAATGGCATGTTTTAATTTCATGGCTCACGGTAAGAAAATATCCTAATTTATCTTCCTTTTCTTAATCTAACCTATTTAATTTACCAATTATTATTATTTAATTTATATAATTATAGGTACACAAGATTTCTATCCAACATTTCTCAGAGATCAGCTTAATTTTAATCCAGAAGAAGTGACACTTACCACAGCAATTGCTAGTACAGGAGCAATAATTGGTGGTACAATATTTGGATTTCTCTCTCAATTTTGGGGACGTAGACTTACAATTATCATTTGTACATTTTTTGGAATATGCTTTCTTCCATTATATGTATTTCCTCAAAGTCGATGGTTATTGACATTTGGTGCATTTATGGTATATTTATTTGTTCAGGTAAATTTTTTTAGAATTAATTTTCTTTTAACTAAAGAGATGATCAAAAAGCATGAGAAAGGGAATGAGAAATAATAATAATGATAATAATAATAATATTATTATTATTATTATTATCAAATTATTTTAATATATAAATAAATAGGGAGCTTGGGGAATAATACCAGCGCATTTAAATGAATTATCACCACCAGAATTTCGTGGTACATTTCCTGGGTTAACATATCAATTAGGAAATCTTATAGCATCATCTTCAGCTCAAATAGAAGCCTTATTAGGTGAAAGATTTACTAAAGATGGAAAACCAAATTATGGTTTAGTTCAAGCAACATTTGCAGGGAGTGTTATGGTATTACTTATTTTCTTGATAGCTATTGGAAAAGAAGATAAAGAAGTAAATTTTGAAATTTTGCAAGTTGGATTTAACACCATTAATAGTGGTGAAAATAGTGATAATGGAAATAATAATGAAAACAATAATAATAATAAACAACCACAAAATAGTAATGAAACTATTGATATCACTGTAGATAATAATGAATAGGGATTAAAAAACTTTGTAATATTTCTTTTTCAACTATTTTAATTAGTTAATTTTTATTATGTAATTTAATGGAACTCATCATTTATATTTTATTTTGTCAATAATAAATGCCTACTTTTTTTTTTATTAGAGAAAAGAGTATAAGAATTTTTCAAAATTTGTTTCACTTCTTTCCATTCTATAATATCATTTTTATTTTTATTATTGTTTTTTTGCAAGCATTAACAAAAATAATATCTTATTCATAATAACAATAATTATTATTCCCTGATATTTTAAAAAAATAAAAATATGTTAAAAATATATATTAAAAGATCTATTAATAATATGTTAATATTAAATTTACCATTCAATAGTAGCTGGTGGTTTACTTGAGATATCATATACAACTCTATTGACTCCTTTATAAAGGAATAATAATAGTAATATAATTAATACTTAATATGAAATTAAAAAGTATGATGAGATTTATATATAGTTTACCTTTCACTTCATTTATTATTCTATTACTTATTCGCCCTAGAACATCATAAGGGAAATGAAACCTAAAATATACAATTTTTTTTTAGCATTTCTCTTTTTCTTTTTTTCTTTTAATCTAATTTCATTCTCTTGGCCTTAGATAATGAATGATAAAGATAATAATAATAATAATAATAATAATAATTTACCAATCAGCAGTCATAAAATCTGTAGTCTCAACAGCTCTCAAAGTAATAACTTGTTCATAAGTTCTTTTGTCACCCATAACACCTACTGCTTTAACTGGTAATAAAGCAGCATAAGCTTGAGAAATTTTTCGATATAATCCAGCTTTTTTAATTTCTTCAATATAAATATTATCAGCTGCTTGAACAATTTTAACTTGACTAGGAGTAACTTCACCCAAGATTCGAATTGCAATTCCTGGTCCGGGAAATGGATGACGCCAAATTAATTCTTCATCCATGCCTAAAACTTTTCCTAATTCACGTACTTCATCTATATATTTATTTAAAATTTATATTTAAGATTTATATTTAATATATAAATATAAAATTATCTTCTGATAGAACAATAAATAACCTTTGAATAATTCCCTAAGTGGTTCTATTAACTTGAGTTTCATATCTTCTAATAATCCACCAACATTCTATAAAATTCATTCAAAATTTTATATGTATTTTTCTTAAATAAAAATCAACATATAAATGAATATAAAAATATATATACTTTACGTGATGAGATTTAATAGTAGCACTTGGCCCTTTAAATGAGATACTTTCTATAACATCCGGATAAAGAGTACCTTGAAGAAGATATTCAATTTTTCCATGATGACTTTCTTTAGCTTCATTATCAATTAATAAAGCTTCTGATTCAAAAACTTCAATAAAAGTATTTCCAATAATTTTTCTTTTTTTCTCGGGATCCGTTACCCCTTTAAGACGATCAAGAAACATTTGTGAAGCATCTACAACTTTAAGATTTATTCCAAGATGATCTTTAAGTGATTGTTTAACTTTCTGACATTCATTAAGTCTCATAACACCATTATCAACAAGGATAGCATGAAACCTAAAGAAATGAAGAAATAAAAAAATTACAATTAATTTCTGCAAAGATTATATATTTATATTTGAATAATAATTTCACATGCACCTATCACCAATAGCTTCTTTCATTAATTTAGCAGCCACAGAACTATCCACACCACCACTAACTGCACCAACAACTTGTCCATTAGGTCCAACTATTTGTCTAATTCTATTTAATTCTTTATCAATAAATGATTCCTATAATAATAATTGAAATCACTTAAAAAAATAAATTAATTGAAAAAAAATAAAATAATAAATAAAATAAATAAACAAAAAAAAAAAAATTGAACTCACCATAGTCCAGTTTCTTTGACATTCACAAATATTGCTAACAAAATTTTTAATGATTGTTTTTCCTAATGGTGTATGAGTCACTTCGGGATGAAATTGTATCCCAAACAAATGTTTATCTTCATGAGCAATGGCAGCAAATGGAGAAGTTAAAGTTTTACCGATAACCTTAAAATCTTTGGGAATTTTATCTAACTGGTCACCATGACTCATCCAAACCTTTGATTAAGATTTATTATAAATAAATAAAATAAATAAATGAAAAATATAATATGATAAAATGAAATATAATAAAATAAATATAATAAAATAAAATATAATAAAATATAATAAAATATAATAAAATAAAATTTAATCTAATATAATATATACTTGAAGGCTATCTTCCAATCCATCAAATAACCTATTAACAAAAGGATAATCTTGATATTTAATTATAGACAAAATTGCATGACCATATTCTCTATTTTTACATGGTGCCACTAAACCATCATGATTCCAAGCAATTTCCTAACATTAATCAAATTAAATAATTAAAAAATAATAATTATTATTAAATCAAAATTAAATCAGAGAAATCTTTTTTTTTACCTGAAGTCCATAACAAATTCCTAAAATCGGTATACCGAGATTAAATATTTCTTTATCTACCCTTGGTGCATCTTTATCATATACAGAATAAGGACTTCCTGAAAGAATTATGCCTTTGATTTTTATAAAAAAATAATATAATTATTATGCATATTTTATATTGTATTTTTTTAATTAATTTTATTTTGGATATTTTAAAATACCTTTCGGTTTAAAATTTAATTCGTTAAATTTTTGAGTACACGGAAACATTTCACAATAAACACCAAGTTCGCGCACTCTTCTGGTAATTAAATGTGAATATTGTGAACCAAAGTCGAGAATTAAAATTGTGTCGTATATTGAATGAACTTGGGTAACTTGATCTTGATTCTGAATTAGGTGCATTTTTTTATAATGTTATTAAAGATTAAGCAGTTTGTATCAAATATCGGTATTTTTTTTTTTTTGATAAAAATTTAAAATCATTTGTAGATCATGTATATAATGCAATATGATTGGATGATATCAGATATATTTAATAAAAATAAATGATCCTTTTTAAAAATACAATAAATCATTTGTTTATGAATACATAACATAAAACAAAATAAAATGTCTTGCAAATTCTGCCTTATTTGATAATTATCATTATTTTTCTAATATGTCTTTTAATGATACTTTAGCTGATCCCCTTTCTTTTGGTTTTTGTTGTGATAAATCTGGTTTCCATCCAATCTATAAATGATATAAATAATATTAAATCATATAAGATTATTAAAATTATATATAAGAGAGAGAAAAATGATATATTTAAAATAATAATAAAATAAACTGATGTTATTTAATTACCATAAATATTATCTATTATTATTGATCAAAAAAAATTGTATTATATAAAATGATAAGATAGTTATTGTTATTGAAAAATTTAAGACATAAATACAGTGATTAAAGAATAAAAAATGGGACTACCTGAAAAGTTGCAGGAATTGTGCCATCTGGATTTCCGTGCAATTCTAATAAATATTTATAATATTTATCAATATTGATAACATTTGAAATTTGATAATAATAAATTGAATATATAAAACAATAATTACCTTTATAAATAGAAGCAGCAGCTATTAATGTATCTCTTTTCAAGAAAGGTCTCCTATAAAAATCGTTAAAAAAATAAATAAGTATTAAAATAAATATTAAAAATAAATTATTATGCATCTATATATATCCCACCTTGATATTACTGCATTACTTTCGCCCATTGATCGTAGATCTTGAATTAATTCAAAAATTGATGGATAATTTACTATAATTTCATCAGTATCTATGGTGGTTAAAGTAAAACCAGCACGTGAGAGTAAACTTCCAATATCTCTAACATCTAAAAAAAAATAATAATTTATCTATTTATTTATTTTTTTTGAGAAAATTTTTAAATATTAATAATTGGAATAACCTGTCATGGGAGATATTCGAGGTGAAATACCGCCTTCTCTCTCTAATTCGGCTAATTGCAATGAAGTTCTATTATTGTTATTATTACCACCGTATAAAAAAATAATGTTAAATTAAATTAATATCTTTAATAAATAAATAAAAATTGTTATTAAAATTTTACATACATCTGAATACCTCAGTTCAAATAAAGTATCTCCACCAAACATTGAAGCTATAAATGCTCCATCTGGTTTCAAGGATCTGTTTATTTGAATTAATGCACCTGCAATAATAATAATAATAATAATATATATATATTAGAGAAAAGATAAAAAAAAAACAACAATAATAATTAATAATTATAAATAATTAAAATAATATGGTAAATATTATATAAATAATACCAGGTAAATCATTCACCCAATGGAGAGAAAGATTACTCAAAACAATTTCCAAAGAATTTTCTTTAAATGGCAACAATTCTTCATTTACAACCATTCTTTCAACTTCCACTAATTGATCATTAAATATAATTAAATATTATTAAAATTCAATTAAACATTATTAAAGAGAATAAAGGTTAAATACCATCAGCTTTTATATCCTTATCCCTTTCCAACATTTTTTCTAATTACAAATGAAAAATTTAATTATACATTATTATTTTTTTTTTCTTGCAGCACAGCACACCAATAAATAATTATATAAAAAACTATAATTTTGAAAATAATATAATTTATAATAACCTGACATATCACACATAATTAACTTTTTCATTATATCTTCATTTACATGTTTAATTATATGTCCACAACCACTTCCCAAATCAACAACAACTTCAAATTTTCTTTTGATGTCCTATTAATTAATAAAAATATTATTATTACAATTATTATTATAATTATTATTATTATTATTATAATTATTATAATTAAAATTATTAAATTTAATTAAAATTATTAACTATAATTGTTATCTATTTAAAATTATTATGATTTGATTAAAATTATTATTTATAATTATTATCTAAAATTATTATCTTTAAATTACCAACAATCTATCCACAATTCGATAAGCAATTTCATCTTTAAGATAATCAACTTGTCTACTATTTTCGACATCCAAAGCTGCCCGATTTCTTTGTATTTTTTTTACATTACGATCAAAAACTTGGAATGCCGAGGGTGTTTGAGTTGACGAAGCAGTTGCATAATTACGACAAATTCTAGAATAATGACGAAAAATTATAGTTCTTGATTGAAAATTTCGATGGAAAGAAAATAAAGAAAAAGGAGGATGCATAATCATAATAATTACAATAATTAAAAATTACAATGATAAACCAGATGGATAGGTAATACGTGACAATATATTTAATCGGGAACACGTATCACATTAATTGAGAAAAAATAATTTTGCTATTTCGATTCTTAGCCGCCATTGCTTAAGCCTTCCTCCCTCCTCTTCCTTTTCTTCCTTGATTAGGCTTAGAAACCAAGTATTTTTTTTTTAAAAAAAAAAATTTGTATTCGTTAAACATTCTTTTTATTCGTTAAGCTTTTTTTTATAAATACACAATTAAATTAATTCCATTCCACTTTTTAATCATTTTTGATTTTGTCTTTATGATAAGAAAATATAAAAAATATAGTAAATTACCAGAAAAAATTTCCCCCAAAGAAAAATGTGTACATTATTGAAATGGCTAACAAACTTTTGGTATATGAAGGAACCCATTTTAAAAGGAAATTTTTACTTGAAGCTCAAATGCAGGTTTTGGAAGCAACTGTAGTAAAGTTTGACTTTATGATCCCAACACCAAAAGTGATGATAATGATAACTCTTTTTCTCAAAATATTAAAAAGTTCTAAACATACAACATCAAATTTTTTTTGATGAATAGGCAAATCAAAAATTTGTCAACTTTTGATCATTCAACATGTAAAAAGTAGTAATAAACCTCCAATAGAAGTAGAAAATTACTCATGTAAGAAAAAAGTAGTAACCAACAATAAAAATGTGAGAAAAATATTTCAATTATGCCTAGATCTCAAGCTGAACAAGGCATCTGTTTTGAAAGATTAGTAGTTAGAAAATTGATGAATTTTGAGATTCTAGTAGTAAACTGTTACACATATAGATATTGGAAAATTATTCATGTAAGAAAGTAGTAAATTCTCACACATAGATGTGGGAAAATATTTTTTCAATTATTCCTGGATCTCAAGCTGAACAAGGCATCTGTTTTGAAAGATTAGTAGTCAGAAAATTGATGAATTTTGAGATTCTAGTAGTAAACTGTTACACATATAGATATTGGAAAATTATTCATGTAAGAAAGTAGTAAATTCTCACACATAGATGTGGGAAAATATTTTTTCAATTATACCTGGATCCCAAGTTGAGCAAGATATCCATTTTGAAAGATTCTAGCAAACCAATTCAAATTTTTATTAGAAATGTCTTTTGATTCTTTACAGAGAAATTTGTAAAATTTGTGAAAAAACTTTTGGAAAGAAAAGGATACCCATTTCATTAAAATGAGTAAGTGAGGAATTAATCTACCCAAGGTGATTTAAATTTTTGAATTTATTTTTATATAATTTCATATAACTATTTTTAAAAATCTTATGAAACTTGGAAAAATATAAATGTTTATGGATTACATTTGGAAAATAATTGAATTTTGAAAGGAAAATCTTAAAGAGGGAATCAAAATCATTTTGATTAAAAAATTGATTTATAAATAAATATCACTATTCATTGAAGATATTAAAGTTCAATTTTTAGAATTCTGAAAGAAATTTGTCATTTAATTAAAGAAATAGCAGAAGAAACTTACAATATCACTATATATTCCATACAAGAGCAATTTTAAAAAGCTTCAGAAGCATCAAAATATATTTGTTTCATCATTCTTTTAAATTCAATGAACTTTCTTTTACCAATTTCAAAAAATTACAAAAAAAATATTCTAACAATGTAGCAGTTCTCATCTGTTGACATAATTTACCGCAGTAGTTTTGCGTAGACTTATTTCTAATTTTATTTTTCTTTTTCTTTCTTTTTCTATTTTTCTTTTATTTATATTATTAATGATTTCACATGAAGAATCAGGCTGAAAGCATGTT